CATGCAGAGAGTAGGGATTAATGAGTGGGCCTACATAAGCTACTGTTGCCGTTAATCCTACTGCAGGTTTTCAAAATTTGGATTAAAGTTTTATTTACCTAGTTGGGAAATTTCGGGAAGCTAATGGATACAAAAAATAATCAACATTATCGCTACGAGCAAAGCATGAATGTGCAAATATAAACGAAACGGAATAGAAATTTAAAGAAAAGATGGGGTTTTTAAATCGTAAAGAAGTGTATTAGAATGCGTTTTGTATAAAGAGGATAACCTGGACCAAGCCAACCGGTGGTTTCTTTTCGGTTTAATCAAGAATTTCTAACGGCAAGTGCTAAAGCAGATATTAGAAGGTGGTTCTGGAATCCTCTGGCGTACAATCTACATAGGTTCAACGCGAAAGTCACGCCTCTCAGTTTCTGCATCTTCTTAATATCGTGTCTGACATTTTTCGCAATGACGGTGAGCTTATTTTGAAATTCCGACTAGGCTCACAGATAGAAAACGTTTTGGGCTTGTATTTTGTTGAAATACATTATAAGAAAGGCATTAAGTTGGTGTTCTTATGAAGTAACATAAAAATGAAGAGCATTATTTTGAAGCACCTTTGAAAATTGGAATGCTTCTGTTATTGGGTGCTCTCTGCGAAATATAGAAACCACACAAAGTTTAGAATGCAGACAACTGTTTCGAAATTTAATTTGCCAAAGTACATCGATTCATTTTTAATGAGGCTCGACATTTTTGAGACAAGCAGAAGTACCAACTCTAAATCCTTGAAGTTCTATGTCTTTTGGAGTTAAACCTAAGAAACATTTTTTGACATATTTTATGAGTTGCTGAAGAAATACCTAAACTGGGCCTGAATGACTTGATATGCGAGAGTGAAGTATACAGTGTAGTTTTTGAAATGGACCAATAGTCTTTCCAGGAGGAGTCGAAAAGGGCCATTCTGGTAGGTGGTCATCGATAGGAAGTTGCAGTGGTTTAGTGGAACATGAGCATTTGTGATTCTGTCCGGTGGAGGAAATACCAAACGGAAGCGAACTACCGGGCGAGGAATGCTGGTTAGAGCTGAAATATGGAAGATCTGTGTGGAATGCTTTAATTTACTTTCTCTGCATTTCAGGCAGCAACGAGGTCCTTTTATCTTAGTTATCAAGATAATACAAAGCATTGAACAGGGATTCCCTTTTGAGGACATGTTTCAGTGGCACCGTCTCATCGCTTTGGATACACAACAAAGCTGCGCACGAAAATGCATAAGCTTAATCCCCACTCTTAATTCTTCACGCAATGGGCCATAGGAAAATTGAATAATTTCTCGCAATCAGTCGTAGAGGCGACGTCCTTAGAGCTCTTCATGAAACGCATGTGTTCCTGTTGTCCATTTCCAGGTCAGCACTCGAAATGGTACCACGCAACCGCAGGACAGGAGTGAGTTGTACAAATACAGCTACTTTAATTTTCTGAGTACTATTTTAAAAAGAACAATTTAAGCGTCCATTTGCAAAGGTATATTGCGCACTGGAATGTAGAAAAGGCTTTTTAAAGACATTTCCTCTTAACGTCACGAGATAAACTGAAATATGCATATACGATGCTCGCCGATCTGGTAATGAAGCATTGCACGTTCCGGTTTTGCCTTGGAGCTCACTATAGAGCCCTCATTGGCAGTCGCATAACGACTAGAAGGATAGGGCGTAGTAAAAGACAAGGGAGACTGGAATGGCCATTTCTGGCTTGTTAGCCGTCATCAGCTAGTCATACCCAATCCCAGCTGTGGATCACCCGGGACCTTTGGTCGTGGAGTACAAAACTATACCATTGAACCACGAGCTCGTTGCTTTGTTGATGGAGATCGGGAATGTGAAAAATATGTTATGCTCGCCGATCTCGTAATGGAACAGTGTACGTTCCGGTTTTACCCTTCAGCCCACTAAAGGTCTATAGTACACAATAAGCAAGTTGCTTTCTTCAAGATGCCTAATTTGTTAATATGTCCTTTTTACTAAATTGATAACAAAAGAGCAGTTGACGAGCATAAGTAAGCTTTCGATAACTTGGTAATGCTTGCCAACTACCCCCCCCCACCCTGAATTCTCTGATGGGAATTTGTACAACTTGAACACATTCCAATTTATAACAGCTGCTTGTGAGTTCCAGTGGTCTGAAGCTATTTGAAGAAGTTGTATCAGCCCCTTTATAGATGGAGCTTGTGTTGCGTTCCTTTCAGTCAGTAAGCAGGGTCACAGCCTTCATCGGACCTTTCGAAGATCTTGAGGAGTGGACAGGCCAGTTGATCTGCGAATTCATTCAAAACTACTTCGGATAAGCGGTCCGGCCGAGAAGATGCATTGGGCTACAGCTCTTTTCTAGTTTTCCTGACCGTGGCTGTTTTGAAGGCCACCATACCAACAACACGACCGGCTACGATAATTTTGGGGGTATAGTCTGTCGTCAAAAGCCGGCTCCTCAGTGCAAACGGACACGAAGAAATTGGATAGGAGGTTCATTTTATAAAAGCTGTCAGACAACATATTTTTCTGGCAATCCTTTATACAGAGAATGCAGCCTAGTTTGCGTTTTGTCCCATTTGAGAGCGCCCACTATTTGTTTAATACTGTTTGACTCAAACGCTGCGCGTTTCTCCTTCTATAGATTCTGACCTTTGTGTTCTTTGTTTTGGAAATTAGGGTAGTCACATCAGTTATCGAAAGCTCGCTTACTTTTTCTATATGCGCCTTTTCATCCTATGGTTATTCTCTGTTTTCGATCCCATCTGTTCGAGTACGGGGGCGTACGATCTTCTCCTAAGTGGGCAGCGGATTTCTATCAAGTATTACATTACGCTCCTGAAAAAGAAAAAGTCGTTTTTAGTTCAGGTATTTCTACAGTGTCCCAGGTAAATTCCCTCCAATCTATGTTTATTTGGGAATAATATATATCTAAACATAATGCTTTCTTCGACTGACTGCATTTCGAGTACAGGAAAATGACTGTACTACCAAACGAGGACGCAATGGTCCCTTCTGCTAGGGAGCGTGT